TAGTACACCTCGGGAAAGACTGGTGTTATGGAACTGGAGTCTTGACGATCTTATCTATGCCTTCAATGTTGTTTGATCATTCAGCGAGAAACGAATGAGGTCGCGATTGAGGTTTATTCTCTCCAATGTCATACGAACACGGTTTCACATACAGATGAGGTGTCGGCTGGTGGTGCGAATTGTGTACGATGATGCTATTAGTAAGTGTGTGGTGAGGAGGATCTGCTCGCGGTTGGTAGGCACATTATATATTGTCGTGGGGTGGAGGAAAATGTTGGTGCGTAGAATGCGTATTGTGTGGAAGCATAACAAAACGGTGGGTGACGTTGTTCACAACTACGGGCAATATTCACGGACGGAGGAAGTACGATGTACGTGTGCGAATGCCTCACCTAGTTTTCCAAGAACGGAGGGGCACGTGTCGTTCCGATTAAATGAATGTAGTGTGTTTCCGACATAGATGCAGAACTCGAAAAATATTATTCGTCTGTCACAACTACGATCTTGTGCTAATCTTAGGAAGCAAATTTTTTTCGCATTTCAGAGTTTGCCGTCGCTTCCTCCAATTGATAAGGATGCGATTGGATTGGAGGAACTATGATCGTGCTTCAACGACAATTGTTTGATTGAGCCTACGTCTTCATCTCTTCCTGGGTCTATGATATGTTTTTCCTCTTCTTCTTCTTCTTCTTCCTCTTCCTCTTCTTCTTCTTCTTCTTCTTCTTCTTCTTCTTCTTCTTCTTCTTCTTCTTTTCTTTCTTCTTCGTTTGCAGAACTTTCTGGTAGTGTGAAATCTGTTGACGACGTTTCTGCCTATCTCACTCTTCTTGAAGGTTTGGTTTGCTGTCCGCTAGATCACAATATGGGTGATACGTATGTCTGTTGCCCTGTCGTGTATCGAAGCGGAATAAGGAAGTTGTTCTTAGAGAATCCCTCGCTAACATGTTGTCTTCGTAGTGAATCCGTTGTTTTGGCCAAGTGTAGGGCTGAGTACGAAGATAAGGGTCTATCGAAGGTAGGGAAATGGGATGTCAAGGGTCAACTTGGACATGCCTATTGTCTTCCAAAACACAAGGATGTGAGCAGATGGAGACCTATTTGTCCCTCGTATTCTGAATGCTCCACTACGGGGGGCAAACGAATTTCACAGGCAGTTAACCTTCTTCTATCATGATGGAGACTTTCCCTTGAGACGAACTTCAATCTTCGATCTACAAGAGAACTGCTGCAACGGATCAAAGGAATCAGCAAAGACTTGCGGAACGATTGCATGTTGGTATGAGCTTCATTTGATATCAAGGAAATGTGTTCCAACTTACCACATCGATCGATTCTTAGCGCATTAGTATGGGGTGATTGACTATTGGAAGAATGAAGGATACAAGGGTGTGTCTGTGCGATGTTTGGGAAAAGCCGCCATGCTCACAAAGGGACGTAGTGAAGATGGGTGGAGACTTCTTTCCTTCGAGACAATCCTCGCTTTTGTGAGCTTCAAATTAAGTAACACCTTCGTGATGGCTTCTGGGTCGGTGTATCAACAAACCGTCGGCATTCCTATGGGGAAGTCTTCAAGCCCTGCGTTGGCGTGTCTGCTATGTGCCTACAATGAGTTCCTCTTTCTGTCTTCCTTGGGTAGAGATCGACGATTGTTTCATGGTTTCAGACTAGTAAATGATGTTTCTGTCTTTGTGATCTGCAAACGAAATGATGTTTGTTCGATGGAAAAAGGGCGGCAGTTGCTTGAGTCCTTTGCTGACTGTTATGATAGTAAGCTCGTGCTTGAACGCACCAATGAAGGCTGTTGCTAGGATTTTTTGGGATGTGTTCTCAAGATTTGTGACAATTCCGTAGGGTTAGTTTGTATGCCACTGCATAAGAACCAACGTGGAGGGGTCGATAAAAAGTTGACATTTCAAAATCTTCATGACTACTATTCCTTCTCAAGTCGGCAACATAAGCTGGCGGTTATAGGTTCCTTTTTTCATCGTGCTAAGCTGTTCAATACTGTTCCCGGATCTGAATTGCCATTTCTTTTCTCGTTGAAATTTGAGTTGTGGAAAAGGCGGTACCATGACGACCTCTTTGATGGTGCATTAGTCAATTTTTTCAGGAAACATGGAGGAATATGGGACAAATGGATTCCGTTGTTGACTGACTGGGGGCGCAAAAAAAGTGCGTAGGGCTTGTGGGAAGCGGCCAGTGGATGTGGACTCGACTAATGATTATAAGCATGCAGGGGGGTTGAATGTTGAAAGGGAGACTGTGGTGTCGGTCTACTGTTTTTGAAATAATGTATGGGATGGGTTCGAACCGTTGTTCTGTGTTAGTGTAGTTTTTTTGAAACCTTTGTTTTTTCCACCTCGATAGTGTGTAAATGGGTTTCGAGCCCTCGTCCTTTTTTGAGAGATGTTTTGTGTGTTCATGACGGGTGAGCGGCGGTTGGTTTTTCGAACTGTTGTGAGAAGGTAGTAGTATCTCGAAGCGGCGTAGACAGGGAATGACTGAGGATTTGAACTGGCGACCTTTGTTTTTTTGGTGTCTTCTAGAAGTTAGACATAGGCTCGCAGGGCATTTTTAGACTTGGCATCAATAGCTGAGGGAGGTACTGGTGGTTTAAACCACCAGTACCTCGCCCAGCTATCGAGTCCAAGCCTCCCCTTACCAGTAAGCCGAGCCTTGCCGAGCCTAGACCTACGGGTAGCAGGTTTTTCTTCATTTTTCGAAAACAGGTTTTTCTTCATTTTTCAAAAACCAAAAAACGAAAGTAAAAAAAAAAAAAAACGAACCAGCCTCTGAAAAGAAAAAAAGAGAAACAAAGAAATACACCGGGCGGGAGAGAGACACACACACACAGAGAGAGAGAGAGAGAGAGAGAGAGAGAGAGAGAGAGAGAGAGAGAGAGAGAGAGAGAGAGAGAGAGAGAGAGAG